GGCCCCGGCGCATGAAACCGGGCTGCTGCTGTAACAGCTGCGCGGCTGCGGTAGGTGCAAGGGTGCCCGCGTCCAGACCTCTGCCTTCTAACAGCGCTGCCTAAAGGTGCTCTTCAAAGGCAGAGGTGCCCCGCGCCCTGCAGCGGTGGCGTGGGCCTCGTTTCCTTTGGGATTGCCAAGAACTTGCTGTCGGGCATGGATTATTCTGCCAAGGCCAGTAAAACTACTGCTCTTAAGTGATTTCAGCAGGGCAGACTTTGCATCCGTTTAAGATATTGAACCAATACACGCGTTTGGCCACGTTAGCTTTAGGATTGCTCAGCTGTAAGAGCGAAGCTCTTAAGCTCCTCTTTTTTCCCTGTTTGCTTGGGTCTGCTGCTGGCAGGGGCGTCTCACGGCTACAGACTCATTAATTTGGAAGATACTTAACCTCTAGCTACAGATCTGGTCAGTGACCTCTCAAGATTAGGATCTCCTGCAGCGAAAAGGCTTTATCGTGGTAATCCTCTGCTAAAAGAGTGCTCCTTGCTGAAAGTTGTGGTGCCAGGCAGCGCGGAGCGGCTCCGCGCCTTCGCAGGGCTGTTGGAGCGCAGCAGGCTGCCCGTGGTGGGAGCGTCTCTCCGGAGGTCGCCAGAAGTGCCGTTTGGGGTGGCCTAGCCTCTGAACCGGCTTGTGTGACCACGCTGCTCTTTGCAGAGCAGCTCATAAAACAGACAAGGCAACGCCGCCGGCAGCCTTGCTAAACGTGCGCGCGGCTCCGTCAGGACGGGCAGAAGCGTCGGCGCGCGGGAAGCGCTGCTTGCATGGGATCCCAGTTTTTCCCTTCAGAAGCGGGTTGGCTTTGTAAGTATGTTGTTTATGCTATTTTGTCTTTAAACTAGACTTCCCATTGGTTTATATTATCAAGGGGCACAACGGGTGCAACTATCAGCAAGGTGTAATACTTAAAAGCACTGCTTTACAGGTTTGTAGGAGCCATCAAATTTATGTTTTGTGTTGGGTATGTTTGCTGCTGCTGTATTCATAGGCACTTTCCAGGCATGGTCCTGGACAGGGCCCTTTAGAGAGTTTGGTCCTGATAGTGTGCTAGTGTGCTAGTGATAGATAGTGTACCTTTAGGAGGGTCTGCAGAACGGGGCTTGGAGCTGAAAAGCCCTCTCTCTCCTGCACTACCTCGCCGACGAGGAAGCGAGTAGGGGGCACAGGTTGGGGGACGGGGACGAGTAAGCTCGAAGTGGCTGCTTTGGAGCTCCCTGGCAGTTCGCCTACTCCAGCGCCGAAAAGCGCTGGCGAGGAGTAGCGGTGGGTTTTTGCAGACGCTTCTTGTGATGAGTGCTGGTGGCTGCAGCCTGTGTTTGCAGCTCAGGTGCTCGCTGGTGCTGCCTGGGCTGGCAACAAAACGGCCGCTTTGCATTGTCACTTTTTTTTTTTTAGTACTTTTGCTAGAGCTAAGGGTTTGTAAATGCCAATGCGGTCCTATTAAACTGTTACAGAAGTTTGATTTCGTCTGATGTCTCACGTCAACGCGATTCCCTTGGCGCTCCTTTGTCTACTGCCGCCTTGGCCGGCTCCGGCTGCTGCCAGCAAGGTGTGGGCCTGGGGGAGGCTCCCCTGCTCGGCAGGCAGAGCTGCCCTCTTCCCGCCCAAAACGAACCGAAAAGAGGAAAGAGAGAGAAAAAAGTTATTTCTTCTGGGTTAGCTGTTGTGACCCTAATTTTCTTTGATGCTCTTTCCC